GAATCTGCGTCGGGCCGAGTCCATGTTCAGCTCATTGCAGAAGTTTGTTCATGGTAGATTTAAGTGCGCAAGCACTTTTCCATTTCCTATCCGCAATGTTAAGTATCAACATTTCAGGTCTCCGGGCTAGATTTTTATCCTCAAACCTTTCCCGGATAGCTTTAAAGAAGTCTTCAATTCGTGTTTGCTGAGAGTTTTCTACCATGGATTGGCAACCTGCCTCTTTCTGCAAGGAGATTGCAAAACACATGGCATCTCCGACCATACACGAATCGACCATCAGAACTGTGTCCCAATATGATATGTGCTGCCCATAGACATAGGATTCGACTGCCGCAATCCAATGCAATACACTTTCTTCCTTCTTGCCTGTGTAAGTCCATGACACTTTTACTTTAATCTTCCTTGCTTGCCCTGTTTCTTCTTGCTGCACTTCCTTCTTCTTCTTGTCTCCATTTCCACTATCTTCGTTTCCACCATCTCCGTCTCCTCCATCTCCTCCGACGCCTCCTAATATTTTCTTAACCACGACGGGATTTGGCAGTCTCTTGGCTAGTTGTTCATCTAGCTTCTCTACGTAAGTTATTATGTCTATCAACTTTTTGTGTTGATCTTTGCAGAAAGTTGTTCCAAACCGCTTCAAACTCAAATTGATGGTTTTCGAGTTTCTGCACACTTTTTGTTAATGCAGCGAGTTGTTTGTTGGTATGGAGGAGGGTATCAGTAAGGAGGGAGAGTCATTCATCGGAGGCAGGTGGCTTCTCCTTCTGTTTTTGTAATTGCCTTAGAAAATTTTCCCGCTCTTCTTTCAATGTTTTCTTTTCTTCAAATTCTTGCCTCTTTGGTGCCACCATTTTATTATTTAATTCTGCTTTCTTTTCTTGAATCAAAATTTCTTTCTCTCCAGGCTCTTCTGTTGCGGCGAGCAACTCAACGAAGGCATTCTTGTCCTCCTCCGACTCAACATACATGGGGGTCCTATATCCAAACTGATCTAGCCAATTCATGGCTTCCATCTAAATTGAGATGCCACCAGTCTTGCTGGATTCCCCTCTTTCCGTCTGACGTTTGTGCAATCTCTAACCATCCTCTGATTCTATTTCTTCTTTTTCTTCTTCTTTTTCTTCTTCTTCTTCCACTGCATTCAACTCTTCCTGCAGTTTTCTTTCTTTCTCCTTCATTTCTTTTTCTAGTTTTTCTCTTTCTTCTTTTATTTTCTTTACCTCTTCTTCTTTCTGTTTCTTTTTTAATCCTTTCTCTGTCTATTTCTCTGCCAGGCGGTGATCCACTTCTACTTGCTCTGCCGCCGGCAACCCTTGCTTAATTTTTCCAGAACTTGTCTGCATCATGCGGGAGGTATAGACCCTCCCGAAGCCAAGGGGAAAGAACAATCTGAAGAGGGGCCCCTGTAACACCGAAAGGGCCAATATACCTTGGATGGGATAATCATCCATGATGGGCGATAGCACAGGGATAGCCTCCGCTGGCCCACCAAGTAGACACCCAAGATCCTAATCTACCTTCTGCGTTGATGGTGTTTTTTTTTTTTTTTAAAGTCTGGATGTTGCTGCTTCAGCATAACGAAAATTAGTAATGCAGTAGATAGATACCGTTTTCTTAATCAAGATGCGAAGTAGAAACTCTTTTTTTTTTTCCTTCTTCCTTTGTTTGCTATCTGTTTAATAACTTAGCTGGTCTATGCCTAATGGTCTTGTCTTGGTCATTTTCGTTAGAGAAGGTAGTCGGATGATACTCGCACTTTCTTCAAAAACAAATTCAATTAATCACGAGTTTCCCTGTTCTCAACCACTTACACTCTGACGTGGAAGCACACAGTTCCCTGACTCAACCTTCCTTCCCTACCTATCGACAGACCAGATAGCTAACGCGAAGACCAAATATTGACTCTCAAAACCTTTTTGTCTGTCAGACCTGGCCACAGGTTTTGTCCAAACAGCAGCACCGACCACTAGAAAGGAGGGAGAAGAGATGCACAACACAAAGATTTGCAATCAATCGAGGTAAGTGGGGCAGAAGGTTCTTCTCTTCTTTGTAGCCGTTGATGAAGACTCCACGTTCGCTCGAATCGCTCGAATCGCTCGAATTGCAAGTAAGTCTTCTCCTCACTTGACCCTTCTTCGACAAACTTCCCCCTCTATCCCAATCCAACACCTCTTCACTTCATCTCCCGCCGGCTTACTCAAGCCAACTTATCCTTCTCGCCGGCCTTTATCATGCCAGCGTGTCCAGTGAGAGTAACAAGTACTGCTCCGATACCAAATTGCAAGGAACCCGATTGTTTATCACTTGCTGTAGTGTATCAGATCACATGCATATATATACCGATTTCACAGACTGTGAAGTCTCACACAAAACCCAATAGAAAATGAATGAGAACCAGGAAGCTTTAGTTCGTGACTGCGAAGTTTCACATACTGCGAAGTTTCACATAGAGAACCTCGTGAGTTCGAAGTGTATGGCGCTGAACGGAGTTACAAGTCTTCTTCGATCAACATGACTTCCAATCCTGGAGCTCATTAGTGCAAGCTGCCAAATGTCAACTACAACGCTCAACAGGTAAGTGCCATCATAGCTCACACTTCCCCCTCTCCCGTCTGCATTCTTCTCTCTCTCCCTCTATGTCTATAGTCCCGATCTACCCTCACTCATCATGCATGCACACTCCCTATCACACGAGGATCTACTCCGAATGCTACTTAGTGGTGTCTCCTACTGGCTATCTCTTCTAACATACTAACACTTTTGGCGCAGCTATGGCTGCCTTCCCTCTAGCCAGCACTCTCTCTTCCTTCTCCTTGGCGTTGCTCTTCAGCCTAGCGCAGCTCTCACTCATCGAGCGCACAAGTGCCACGACACTTCCACACTCTCATGCGAAGTGAGCATCTGTCCAAATGGTCAGTCCTTTATAGCGCTGGACTGGACTGGCGTGGTCTGCGTTCAACCTCAAATGTGCCTGGGACTCTTGCCCTGTACCAATATTTGCAAAGTGTGTGTCCCGGTATCTTTTCCCATGGTCTGCTGCTGCTTTGGACCATCGGGCCTGTCTTTTGGACTCCTTGCCTGAATCAGGACTGACTCGTGGGATTATGACTGGACTGGGACTGTAGCCTTTTACTCATTGCCGAACAAACATGTCCTTTCATCGAGGAGACATGACCCTCACTCAGTCTTGAAAATTGTGTCCAATACCTGTTCGTTCAGGAACTGTTGTGACCTTTCAAAATGACTTTCCACTTCATTATAGATGTGACTTTTACCTCAGGAACTTTGTCTTTTGAGTTGCTGCTCGTAAAGTTCAGTTGTGGCCGACAGGGCCCCTTGCTCTTGGGGCATCTGTTTGGGGTTTGATTCGTAAAGGCCCTTTTACTCTCGTCAGCCTAATTTCGAAGTCCTCTGGGAGAGTTCTTACCTATCCACAATATTAATTCCTCTTGTCGCTCTTTCATAAGCAGATACAATGTACAGTGTTGATTCAATTATCTCTTCCCTACTAAACCAGCGGTCTTCCCTTAGATCTTGATAGGAAAATGTGACTTTATATTGCCGTTGAGGTCTACCTCTGCGTCCAGTCTGAATAGTACTTTCTTCAACGATCTTATCAACATCAAATTTTTCATCCATACTCGAAGGAATTGCTGACCTCCGACTGGGAAATAGTTCATTAGTTACACACGGTAAGAGCTTTGACGAATAAAACACCGGATACGTATGTAGTTGTAGAGGAATCTCAATAACGTAGGATGGTCTGTCCATGTCTCCTATCACATCCAATACTTGCCATGGTCCTCTGTAGGCGGGTAGCAACTTTTGAGAGATGTTCTCTTCTGGGATAAACTCTTTAGATTTAACCCATACCAGATCGCGTAGAGGTCTTCTATGTTTATTTGACTGTTCAGTCATCTGATTTTGAGCTTTACTATGTTCTCTTTTACTTTTGCTAGATCCCTTTGGTATTGCATTAAGAATTCTCGCGTTCCCAACGAAAGTTTGTGTACTTGATCCGGATTCAAACAATGTATAGGTCTGCGGGGACGCCATCCCAGATGCAACTCCATCGGAGTTCTGCAAGTAGATAAGTGTACTGAGTTATTATAGGCACTCAATAACATAGGATGGTCCGTCCATGTCTCCTATCACATCCAATACTTGCCATGGTTCTCTCTAGGTGGGTAGCAACTTGTCAGAGATGTTCTCTTCTGGGATAAACTCTTAAGATTTAACCCATACCAGATCGCCTATAATAAACTGAGAAGGTCTTCTATGTTTATTTGCCTGTTCAATCATTTGATGTTGAGCTTTGACTATGTTCTCTTTTACTTTTTCTAGATCCCTTTGGTATTGCATTGAGAATTCTCGCGTTCCCAATGCAAGTTTGTGTACTTGATCCTGATTCAAACAATCTATAGGTCTGCGGGGACGCCATCCCAGATGCAACTCCATCAGAGTTATGCAAGTAGATAAGTGTACACAGTTATTATAGGCACTAGAAACTTTGGGCAAATGCTTATCCCAATCAATCTGGTGAGGACGAATGTACATACTCAGTGTTTGCTGCAGAATCTTGTTCGTTTGCTCAATTTGCCCATTCGTCTTAGGATGCCACCCTGACGACATTGTCAATTTAGAGCCATAAAAATTCATCAGTTATTGTCATTGTTCACTTGTGAATTTGTGAGTCTCTGTCACGAACTATACTCACGGGATGTCCATAATCTTTCACCCAGTGATTAAAGGATTCCCGAATTACCACGTCAGTTCTAGCTTCCGAAGGTAATGCCATAAAGACAACAAATTTACTAAATTTGTGAACAATCACCATAACTTGGGTTTTCCCGTTCGTGCTTTTCACCTTTGTGTCCATAAAATCGATGGACACAAAGTCTCGTGAACCTGGAGGAATGGGCAAAGGTTGAAGGAGACTGAGGGAAGGCTGCGCGGTGCTCTTTTTCGTTGACACATTTGACAACCTTGCACATATGCGACGCAATCAGGTTTCATTCGAGGCCAGGTCCTTCGGTGTCGTGACATCCCCCCAAGATCAAACTCCGGATCTCCTCACTGTTGGGGACGCACAAACGGTCTCCTACATTAGTCTTCTCAAACAAGAACCCATCAGTAGTGTGGTAGCATGGCTCGGACTCTGGGGCTTCCTTAACTTCTCCTAAGGAGCTCACTATAGATGGGGTCCTGCGCGTACGCCTCTTTAACTTTCTGTTGTAGGTCTGACCCTATATCTAGGTAATGGACTATGGCCCCAAAGTAATCAGCTCTTCTACTCAGAGCGTCCGCAACTATGTTATACTTCCCTTTGACTGGCTTGAGCTCGAAGTCGTACTGGTCTATCTCTGCGGCCCACCTAGTAAGTTTAGGTGTCATCTTGGCCTGCGTCTTTAACCATCGCAATGTTTCATGGTCGGAATAGACTTTGAAATGCCTCCCGAGCAAGTAATGCTTCCAGTGTTCTAATGCTTGCCTGAGAGCGTAGAGTTCCCTCTCATAGGTAGATGTCGCCACCTTCTCTGAAGGCATCCTAGCGGACATGAACTCTACATTTCTATAACCATTGCCATCGTCTTGCTGCAGCAGTGCGCCTATGTCGTACTGGCTAGCATCCGTAGTGACGACAAAGGGTAAGGACGGATCGGCTACCTTAAGGACTGGATATTCTATTAATGCCTGCTTCAGCTTCTTCACAGCAGATGTGCAGTCCTTATCCCACTTCCAGATTGTCTCCTTCCTGAGCGGTCTGCGAAGGGGCGCAGCGATAGTGGAGAAGTTCCTCACGAACTTCCTACAGTAGTTAGCTAAGCCCAGAAACGATCGCAACTCTGCCAGCGTACGTGGAGTGGGCCAATCTCTAATCGCTGCGATTTTACAATCTTCTGGCTTAACGCGGTCTCCGTCTAAGACGTGGCCTAGATATAAGACTTGGGTCTTCGCCCAATCGCACTTCTTTGCATTGATCTTGAAGTTAGCTTCTCTCAGCTTCTCCAAGACCTACCTGAGATGACCCTGATGTTCTTGGAGGGTCTTGCTAAACACTAAAATGTCATCTAAGTATACAACAACAAATCTATCTAACCATGGCGTCAACAAATCGTTCATACACCGCTGAAACGTAGCTGATGCATTGGTTAGTCCAAAGGGCATCACTATAAATTCATAGTGCCTACACCTAGTCCGGAAAGCTGTCTTATACTGATCATCAGGATCCACCTCTATCTGATGATATCCGGACTTCAAATCTATCTTGGAGAAATACTTTGCCCCCTGCACTCGATCTAAAAGATCGTCTATCCTAGGTAGTGGCTCAACATTCTTCACTGTAACAGCATTCAGACCCCTATAGTCTATACACATCCTCAGCTCTCCCTCTTTCTTGGGAACAAAGAGAACAGGCGCTCCAAAAGGAGACGAACTGGGCCTAATCCAACCCTTCTCAAGGAGCTGGTCCAATTGCTTACACTCTAACTCCCGCGGGGACATCCTATACACGGCTCCTTTGGGAGTTCTATTGCCAGGCTCAATCTCAATGCGGTGCTGGATAGGCCGCGACACTACCCTTGTCGGCGGCTCAGCCAGGTCCTTGAACTCCTCCAGCAGCTTGGCGATCATAGGGTCTCTTCCTTAGGCTCAGTTACTGGCCTTACATAGGCTACAAAAACTTGTTCCTCTAGATGCTCCTTCTTCACGAGCCTCGCGAAGTCAGGTGCACTAAGGCAGCAATGTGCCAGGGGATTCTCTACTCCGGATACATGGAACAGGCGGGCAGTCTTAGCCTCGCCTGAAGGACTAGGGAGCCTACACTTGTGCTCCTTTAAATGGAGTGTGGCCCCAGCTGCCCCTTCCCAATCCATTCCTAGAACGATATCGAATGGAGGCCGTCTTCTACGAGGAGAGTCAGGGAGTGGAGAACCTTCCCCACCTTCCCATCCTTCTCTAGGCGAAAATACGCCTGGACTCCCTCAACGTAATCCTCTTCAACCATGGTACGATTGTCTGCGAGGATACTAACTATGGGGTCTGTTAGTTTTTGGACTTTTAAGTCCCAGCTTCAACTTCTGCAGCGCTTTCCTACTAATATAGCTGCGGGTGGCCCTTGAATCTACCAGGGCCCGTACTCTACCCCTAAAAATCTATGTATCTAGTAATATAAGCTGCCCCTTATTCTCCGTCTTCATCTTGGCCCAGGAGGGCATCCTCTTCTTCAATTCATCAGCCACGCCTGTGAGGGAGGTATCTAGAGAGACTCTAACACAAGCAGTCTCTGGACAGCGATCTAGACACCGGCCTGCAGCCTCTGCCATAGGCACATGTGGTGTGGGAGTCTCTTGCCGGCTAGCGCTATGTTCCCCACATGGCCTAATGGTAGGGGCAGTTGCTACCCCTACCGGCGGCTGCCTTTTGGCCCTTGAGCAGCCGTCCGGGTCTCTCTAGACTTAGGACAGTATTTAATGATATGGCCCGGGTCACCGCAGAGAATGAACTGCCCCGGGTCCAGACGCTGTTGCCATAAGCTCTGGTCCAGACCCAGACTCTCCCAAGGCCTACCTTGCGGTAGCCCTGGGTGCCATTCACCTACCCTATAGGGAGACCTATTCCTAGGATGGTTTTGCGGGGGACCTTGACCCCTTCCTCCCGCGTGGCGGTTTCCTCCTCTACTGCCAACCCCCTGATCGCCGTGAAACCGGCTCCCTGAGGCCCGGCCCCCTTGGCCCTGGCCTCGTCCTCCTCCTTGCGGCCTCCCTCCAGCCGCGACAGCAGCGTAAGTCCTCCCCTGGCTCACATTGCTGTCCTCCTCCTCTAACCCCCACTCAATCTGCTCGTAGGGGATCTCTTCCACCCTACCTTCATCTAAGGTAAGGACAAGGTTATCCTTGGTCTTTACTTGCCCTGAGATAGTGCGGCCCTTCCATTGCTTTCCTTTGTCGAGGTCTTTGTGCCAGAAGGTAGAAAGTGACACCGATTTTGCCTCGAAAGCCACCACTTCAAGGCTAAGGGAATCATAAGTGGTGGCAGGATCTTTGCTCTTCGCGAAGAACTGCCCTTGAAAGGCTTCGGGCATAGCCCGATAGAAGAGGCCGACTAATTGGGCCTTTGTGACCCCATGGTCAGGGACAGCCACCAATTCATCCATTGTACCTTTTGAGTGCCCTGGCAATCTTCCATTTACGAGCGTGGATGGTCTGGAGCTTATCGGAGGCCTTGACACTGCGAGCGACATCAGCAAATCGCTCGCGCAGTAATTTTATGAAATCAACGAGGGGGGTGAACGATGAGTAGGCCACTGCATCATTGTTGCAGTTGGTAGCGCGAACTAGGGACCTTGCAAAACTGGCGGCCTCATCTCTGAGCGCGTGAATGGCAATTAATACGTGCTGATCTGGGGAGACCTGTTGCAGATGCACATAGGTCTTGACATTGGCCTCCTAGTTGTCAAAGTTTTCTTCCCTTTTCCCACTGTAGGAATCAGGGAATTTAACTTTGACCGGCTCCCTACGAGGACGCGGCTCTTCCTCCTTGGGAGCTGCCACCTTGACGCCTTCAATGGCGCCAACACAAAAACGCTCAGTCTTCTCGAGGCGATGATTCACCTCGACTCCTACAACTTTTACCAATTCTCGAGCGAAGTCTCGAAAGCCCATACGCATCGAACGCACAACTATATCCTGGCTTCGACTAAACTCATATTGTTGTTCTTACACTCTGGCTAAACGCTCGACGCTCTAGGCGATGATCTGTACCTTTTGTTGGAGGTCTACCTGGGTGGTCAACTGCGTAGTTAGAGTCCGTACCTTCGCCAATTCCTGCATTGCTGCACTCGCCGCCTCCACTCTTCTTTTCTTCTCCCTCATCATTGCGAGCTTCCACACCATCCTCGTTTCATCTTCCATCGCCTGCCGCTTCAGAACATCTTCTTCTGCTTCCCATTTCTTCATAGCGGCTTCTTGCTCATCCTTGGGGATATACATAGTTACCTCTTCTTGTTCGCCCAGGGATAAGTTAGCGACCCACTCCAAAATCCGTTTCTCCATCTCTTCATCCTTGCTGCCACTGTACTGCCCGTTCCTCCTTTGCAGTGGTGTTTCATTTTTCTCTTCCTCTTCCATCTCTTTCAACCTCTCCTCTTCTTCCTTCTTCAACCTCTCTTTTTCTCTAGCCATCTCCTCCTCTATCTTTTTCAACTTGGCCGCCCGCTCCTCCTGGAGGGCCTTCTTCTTGGCCTCCTTCTCCTTTCTCTCCTGCAGGATGGCGACCATCTCTCCTCCTCCTCCTTCGTATAGGGCTTAGTTGAGACCCCGGTCCTGGTGTCTACTCTACACGTGAACGTGTGCCAGAAACCCAGAGGGAAGAGGAGGTGCCAAAGGGTCCCCCAGAGGGAGAACCCCACAAGTAACCCATACATCGGATAGTCATCCATGTGGTGTCAGGTGCGCGACAAAAGTCCCACTCCTCACTGACCCGCTGACTGACGGACTTTCTAAGGACCACAGGGTGGACCCTTGTCAACTATGGTCACTACCCTAGAGCCACTCTAAGGCTGTCACTACTAAACCAATTGTTGATCTGGAGGCATTTAAGGAGATNAGGGTGGACCCTTGTCAACTATGGTCACTACCCTAGAGCCACTCTAAGGCTGTCACTACTAAACCAATTGTTGATCTGGAGGCATTTAAGGAGATCCCCCAAACTCTGCAAGAATTCTTTAACGTCGTAGACAGGACGACGTGATCAGCTTGATTCCTGCCTGTGCTTTCAACCCACAACTCAACCTTTCCGGCCTACTGTGCCACACCGAGCAGCCCGCCGGTCTGTACCGGTCCTTGGAGGGGTTCGTGTCCCCCGGGACAGTCGAGTCGTCAGACACAGATCATCAGCCTTACTTGGTCCGGTAGGGGGGTGGTTCAAAGAGGCCCTCAACACTTAAAGACTGCCTGGTGTGTCAGCCCTGGCTGCCGTTCAGACCCACTGAGTCCTACCAACCGTTCCCAGCCGGTCAGCACCGGTCCTTGGGAGGGTTAGGCCCCCCTGGAGAGTTGGATCAGCCACAGTATCAGCCCTATAAGGTCAGCTCAGGGTTTCGTCATCCAAGCCTATCCTTCATCCACAGAGTGCTAGCACCTAGGACAGAAGAGACTCGATGCAGAAAGAAGAGACAAACAGACTCATACTCAGCAAGTACCGTGGGGTGAGTGCACATCCACAAGGTAAGGGGATAGGCTAAGGGCTCAGCGAAATATCACCAACTCCAGCTTGGTCAAAACCTTGGTCAGCAGCTCCGGTCAACGCCTTGGTCAACGCTGAGTCAACGCTCGGTCAACCTTCTGGTCAACCCCTAGTCAACCCTTCGGTCAACGCCTGGTCAACCCTTTGGTCAACGCTCGGTCAACCCTCCAACTTGGCTATGGCTGCCGGCACCTTCACCTTCGTCGCCCTCGTCTCTTCCTTCCCCTTACTTTACCTTCTTCTTCCTCGCTGTCTTTCTTCTTCTCTCTCTATATTTTATTTTATTTTTTTTGTCACCTTAGCTATGTCTGTCTTCTTCTCCAATACCCCTTCCTCTGTCTCTCTCCTCGGTCCCTCCTTCTTTGTCCCCTTCGTCACACCGTGACGCAGCTCCGCGGCTATGGCCGCTTTCTTCCTCCTTCGTGGGTCTGCGCAGCAACTTCACAGGTATGTAACAACCAATCTTGTATCGCTCA